CGCGCACGCACATAAGCACACGCAGAAACAACCAATCCGGCGAGGATGCCGCCAAAGAAGCGTGGGGACAACGTGCGTGGCCGCGACAAGATCTTCCGCAACGCTGTGCAGCACGTGCACGTTGGCGTTGGCCACAATGTGCTGGGGAACATCAACCTTCGCCCCGTCGCTGAGCTCGACGGCGCGCAGAACGAGTGCGCCTTCCTTGCGGAACTCAACGAGCTGATGCTGTCGCACTCCACGACGGACTTTAAAAGGTTTCGCTGGGAGGTGCTGGAGCTGTGCGAGACCGCAGCGCTCTTCCACCACAATCACCGCAAGATTGCGGAGAAGTTGCTGCTGTGCCTCATGCGCCGCGACAAATTCGCCGAGGGCTACGAGGCGTTTGTGCGCCTCACTGTCGCTTTCGCACGCGACACGCGGGAGAAGTTCCTCGCGTACTTTGAGTGCTTCCACCAGGCAGTGAATAGCGGCATCTTCGACGCGAACGGGCAGCTCCTCGCCGACACGCGGCGCCTGCAGTTAGTCTTCGCGGCGCAGGTGGCGTGGTGCCGCGAGATGCGGCCGTACTGGCTGCTGCAGGAGCAGAGGCGGCTCGTCACCCGCATTGTGCGCCTCTATGTGCGACAGTTGCACGACACGAAGGAGTACATCCGCCGCCTCTCTGCGGAGGTGCTCGCGTCGGTGTGCCGCATGCTGCGGGAGCTTGTTCCCCTCGTGGTGGGCGAGGCGTGCGTGGATGTGGTGCGGGACTTTGAGGCGTACTGCGCCGCAGAGGCATCGACGGCGGCCTCAATCAGTAACAGTAACAATGATGATGATGATGGTGATGGTGAGGTGGAGGAAGAAGTGGAAGGAGGAGATGGCGGGGATGCCACCGCGGCGACAGAGGCGCCGCCGCCTGTTGCTATGTCGCCAGCGCTGCTGTACCAGTATCAGCAGGACCGGCTCGCGTCGCTGCCGGTTGTGGATGGCATGTGCTTTCTCTCTGCGGAGATATTCCGCGGTATTCGTGGTGCGCTCAGCACTAATTTCGAAAACTTCTACGTGTTGCTCATGCACATCTTTGGACTCTCGCAGCGCACGCAGTTCACCGGCACGTACTGCACGGGGCACGGGACAAACGAGCGGGAAATGTTCGGCTTCACTGAGGAGGAGGCAGATCACTTCGTGTATGCTGACGAATGGAAGGAAATTTTCACCGACAGCAGCAGTGAAAGTCAAGGCTCGGCGGTGGCTGTGAAGAAGAATGAAGTGGGCCTCATGCCGCAAGGCGTGGTGCTGCGGGAGCTTGTGCGGCTCGTTGGCGCCACTGTTATAGGCGTGGGGCTGCGGATGGTGGCGGAAGAGACAGCCGCGGCAGCGAAAGGTAGAGGCAACAGAGGTGATGGGGATAATGATAATAGTTTGGAGCAGGGCGGAGGATCTTCATCGCAGCAGCAATTGCTCAAAGCAGTGGCGGCGTTGATGGAGTTCTCCCTGCCGCACGCACGCCTGCTGGTGTCGGTGCTGCACGCCGCCGACCACGTCCTCCTCCGCGATCCATCGGCGCTGCCGCTTCTGCAGCAAGTGACAGGAACGCTGCTGGAGCAATTGTCAGGGCAACGCGAAGCTATTGCGGCTTCGCCAACGGTAGCAAGAACAACAACAACAACGAGTACACCGAAAGCAGCGGCAAGTGAAGAATGGAGCCAACTTGCGCGTGCCTGTGGTGCCATGATGGAGGTGGTGACACCGCTGTGCGTGGGCGCAGGTGGCACGCACACCCACGCAGCGAAGGTGCAGCAGATCTTCCTCCCGCTCGGCCGGGAGCTTGTGGTGACGTGCGTTTCTGGCGCCACTGTCGATCCATACGCGCGAGAGCCGGCGAGAACGGTGTTGTTCGCTTTTGCACAGGATGTTTTACAGAAAAACTATGCGCTTTGCCTGCGGGAGGAGCGTCGCTTGGGTGAAGAGGAGGACGAAACACCGGGGCGCAGCGGGAGGCGTGTGGTGAAGTCCTTCCTATCGCCTGTTGGCTTGGCTCTTCTGGGGCTCGTGTTGCACGACGCGTGTGTTGTGGCCAACGCGGCGCGAGGCCTTCTTTGCGACAACGCCAGCAGCAACAAGAAGAAGAGGCCCTCAAGTGCGCCTCGCACACCGGCGGGAAACGCCACGAGCAATGAGCACGAATCTGCGATGCGTGACGTGACACGTGCGGTTATGCTTGCGCGGATGTTGTGCGATCGCACAGCGAACACAACGGCAAGCCCACTTTTTGAGCTCCTGACCGCCGCGGCGCCGCCCTCTGCTGCTGCTGCTGCTGCTGGTGCGGCTCCACGCAAGAGCGGTGTTGCGGTGACGTCACTCGTCGGCCACCACACGTTGGCGGCGGGGCTGCAGGAGCTTCTACTCGGCGTCCCGGCGGCGTTTGCCGGCGCGCAGAACGGGAATGGAGGCGTTGTTCTCGGCGTTGCGTCCAAATGGGCCGACGTGGTGGCGGCTGTTCTCCCACTGGTGCCCACAGTTGCAGAGGCGGAGCGTGCAGCGGCGCAGGCGTCCCAGCGGGGCGGTGGTGCCGAGACCGCGACGGAGCCGTTTGCGTGGCGCTTCCGCAGTGCGCTGCTGCACGTGATGGGGGCCGTCAAGGCGGCGGCAACAGCAACAACAACGCCAGTGACACAGCTCAGCGCCGCCTCGTACTCGCTCTTCGCGCAGGCGTCAGCGCTGCTGGTGCAGCTGGCGACAGTGGGCAGCGCCCACGACACCGCTACGGCGCAGGCGGAGTGTGTGGGCTTTCTGCGCGACGCCGTCACAGTTCTCGCCGCGAGCTTTCGCGACACGCATGTCATGGCGCTGAGCGACACGGAAAGCGGGCGGCGCCTGCACGGGCGTGAGT